TAGGCCTGTGGTGGGATGTGACGGCCGTCAGCAAGCCCGCAGCCACGCGAGCAAACCCTCACCAGGCACGATGAGGTTGGTTGGGCCTCCCTGGGGAGTCGGATCTGCAGGGAGCCTGGCAGCCTGCAGCACCGGGCACTGGAGACCAGGCTGTGGCCCCTCCACAGTTTCTTCCAAGAAAAGCAATAAACCCCTTTGCCCTGCTGACACATGCAGGGAACATCAGGATTCACATTCCTTGCTACCAGCTCCCTGTCGTGCTCCGGGATCTCTCCAGGGACATTTAACACCCACTGCAAGACCACAGAGGAAAACTGCTTTTGGCTGAGTTACATGGGGCAAGCAATTCAGGGTGATCAGAGAGTGTTTCGCAATTAAAACACCACCCCCTCAGCAGCTGTGGGGCCACATTCATTCAAACGCTGCACCAAGCAGAATTGCAGCCGCAGGGGCTGCCCAAGACCCCACTGCACCAGACAAAAGCCCCAGGGTTTGCATTTCAGGGAGCAGAGAGCTGCTCAGGGCCCCGGGGTTTGCATTTCAGGGAGCAGAGAGCTGCTCAGGGCCCCGGGGTTTGCATTTCAGGGAGCAGAGAGCTGCTCAGGGTTTTTGGCCAGTGCATGGGAGCACACACGTGTCTCCTGATCGCTGCTACTGCTGCAGCACGGCCATGCTGGCTTCTGCACCGCTAACAGCACCCAGCCCGGGTACAGCTGGAAATGCACCACACTCTGTGCCAAGGGACAAGGAACAGGGAGACTCCCACAGGGCCAAAATGCAGCACCGAGCGCAGACCCCCCTCCCGCTGCCAGGATCATTACATGCACAAATGCCCCTTTGCAGCAGCCGAGGTCTGCTGCAAAGCCCCTGCAGCTCCTGGTTCACAGCAAACCCTGTTGCAGAGCTGTATCCATCCCCCGTGTCCCCAGAGGACACACGGAGCAGCCCGGCTGGGTGATGTGGGTGGCAGGAAAAACAACAAGTACATAGGGTGGCACAGAGCACCCCTTCACCAGCATCTGTGCAAGGCAAGCAGGATTGCAGCCTCCAAACCCCACAGCGTGAGCAGCAGGTCTCCAAGGGGTGCAGCTGGAGGTGCCCCTACAAGACCACCCCAAGATGCACTAGGGTCATCGAAGGGGGAGCAAAGAGCAGGCAGTGCTCTGCGAGAAACCTTGCAGAGAGCGGGACGTACCGCTCCCAGCAGCTGCCTTGGGAATTTGCTCTCCCACAGTCTGCGAGGACACCAACCGCCCCTCCTTGCACAGCTCAGACCCCATCCTGCCCACGCTGCCTGCTCCATGACCCCAAAACACCTTCCCAGGCCCGCCGCACTGCTGGCCCGGCTCACCTGTAGCATGGTTTTCCACTGAAGGCATTTCCATGCCCTCCGGAGTCTATTCCCTGTTTCACAGCCCATTGTGCATCCCGGGCAGGTTGGAGCAGGCTGAGCTGGCGGTCAGATGGCCAGACCACCCCTCCGCAGGGCTCCGGACCTGGCGACCCCAGCAGGGCTATAAGGCAGCCCTCGTGCCTCCCGCCAGAGTTTTAAGCAACTTTCTATTTTAATTAGGAGGTTCGCATTCCCCCCTCATAATTCAGCCAGGTTTTGAACTGTTGATTGTAATACCATGGATGCACTATAAATAAGCAAAGGAAGAAAGACCAGGTCCCCCAGAACGAGCTGATTTCACATAAGCAGCACTTGGCACATTTATTTTAAGGGGAAATGTGTCAAAACCTCCTGGGAGGTTGGGAAACGTCCCAGTCTCTCCATGCACTCAGGGCATTTTCCAAGTAGCTGGAGCACTGCATCGAGTGCTGCCGGGTTTCTCATGCTCCAGAGCATCCCCCATGCTGCTTGGCAGCTCTGCTGGGGCCAGCCATGCCGCCCGCTTCCCTCCCGCAGCCCCAAACCCCTCCCCAAAGCCCGTGCCAGCGCACCCATCCCATCCTGCAAACTGCACCCACCACCTCTGCAACACGACTTGGGTGGTGACATCAGGAAATTCCTCCCGTGTTAAAGCGCAGATGAGCGGCAGCGATTCCCCGCCGGCAGCGCGGTGCGTGAAACCCCCCAAAACCCCAGCTGGGCAAGACGACACCATTGGGCTGCGCTCGGTGAGCAGGCTGTCGGGTTTCATAACACGTCCCTGCAGCCAAAGGTCTTTTATTTTTAAGCAGGAGGAGCTGAGCAGCAGGCTTTGTTTCCATTTATTTATAATGGCCATCAGCTGCGCTCGCACGGGAAGCCTCTGCACAAGCCAGCAGCGAGCTGCCCCGCAGCCCTGCCAGCACCGGGCAAAAGTTGCGGCAAAGCTACCCACGGCCTCCACTTTTCATCAACTCATCGCAAAACCACCAAAGAGCTACTTTTCTGCCTTGAATAATTTATCTGCAATAGTTGCAAGGGCAGAGGAAGGAAGGGCAGGAGCAGCACAGGAGCACCCTACATACCCCACTCCTCCCGGGATGCTGTGTTTCCCCACGCGCAGTACCACGAGCGGGGCAGAAGCAAAGCAAACCTGCCAGCAGGAGCGGGTCCTCGTGGGATCCAGCCCTGAGGGCACAGGGAGACTGCATGCACAAGTGCAGGTGCCCTGTCAAAAGGCTCAGCTCTGCCTGCAGGCTTACGGTCCCCCATGAAATGCCCCCAGTGATGCTCATGCATAAAATGTGCACCCCGAAGGATGGCAAGTGCAGGGCAAACGCCAGCAGCGCCCACCGCTGCCCGTCTGGCACGCTCACCCCCTCAGCTGACACCAATCTCATCTTGCCATGCAAGAGAATCCCTGCTCCCCGGCGCATCCCATCCTGCACCAACCCCAGCTGCCGCCGGTGCATTGGCACGGCCTTTCCCAGCACCGGGAGATGGTGCAGGGACAGAGAGAAGCAGAAAAATGAGGAAGCTGGGAGAAAACAGGAGCAATTGGGTAATTTTGCTGCAGCGCTGGGAATTGTTTTGGAAGGAAGGCCACGCACGCTAAAAGCACTTTCCACCCCATTCTTTGACGTCCGAAATCGCTGTAACGGAGCAACCCCTGCCCCAGTCCTTGGGGCACTTGTGCATGTGGCACTGCTGTCCCACAGATCACTTGGACACGTCTGCTCTTCCCGGGGCTCTGCCGTTAACCTTATTATCAGGGTTTTTCATGCGGCACCAAGTCAAAGGGGGCAGGACAGGGGCATTGATTTGGGGCTCTGAGAAGCACACACGCGCACCCCCTGATTTTAGCAACAAGGGTCCCTGAGAAATGCACCCACAAAAGGCATCTGCCCACCCCAAACGGGGCATCTGTGCATCCCCCCACCCCATATGTCGTACCTCATGCCGGTGGCAGGCTCCAGTGGGGTGGTCGTGGTGGGGGGCTCGGCACCGGTCCCCCCTGCCCCAGCCAGGCTGCTGCGCCGACTGCCCCCCCTGAAAGCCGCTGCCACCAGCTCATCGTCGGAGGAGCTGTCCTCAAAGGAGCCCAGCACGAATTTGGCCAGGGCCGGCCGGCGGAGAGCGGCAGGGTTGTACACGGCGATCTGCTCCTGCTCCCCCACCGCAGCCTTGCTGGCCCGTGGCAGCGGGTTGGGGGCCGGGGGGCTTGGCCATGCCGGCAGCTTGGCTACAGTGGGAGCCACCGGTTGCTCTGCCGGGGTCTGCTGTGGCTTCTCCTCCTCCCCGAGCTGAGGGTTGGACATTTTGGCCCAGACGAGCAGCACCAGTCCCAGCAGGAACAGGGCAGCCAGCAGCATTCACCTGCCCTGAGGAACAGATACATACACTGTCGGGGAGGGGGCATGGGAACAGCCCCCCAAAACACCAAGGCCCCTTCCCCACTGCACCCCACAACACCCAGCCAGACCCCCCCCTGCTCAGCCAGAGTTGTATTTAATACCCAAAACACAAGCAACTCGAGGCGGGGGGGGGGGCACCACTCTGCTCTGCCTTCCCATGGCACTGAGGGGGCTGAAATGGGCCCCCGCCT